ATGTAGGGTTGCAATTTAAATCATACAAATATTTCACCTGAAAGTTTAGTTCAAGCTTCTTTAAATTAATCATCAAACATTTATGAAATCCAGGCTAAATGACTGCGTAATACAAACCAATAAAATTGATGATATTTATATGATTAAATTACAAACAGAGTTATATATTTATTCCTTCAGAGAATTACTTAATTAAACAATCTGAAAAGCGCAACCGATTTTATTACAAACTTTTAACAAAATCTTAATTAATGGGATTATTTCATCATCAGGGAACTAGTTTTCTGAATAAAATAATACACAATAAATATTAAGTTGTCAATGTAAATACAAATTTTCAAACGGTAGAAAGGTGATCGATTGTCATTTAGTTTCTTTTTAAAAAAAACAACGTTCATCTAAGAGTTGATTTACAGAACAACTGGGAAGTTTATTTCAGTTAATAATATAAAAATTTGTACATAATTTAAGAAAAATAAGAAGTGCATTTCTCCAATAATAAATCTATCAAATGCATCAGAATAGCATAATCGATATAACCATTTCCGGCTAATTTATCAGCCAAATCAGGTGAAAACTCTACAAGCACAGAAAAATACACTTTCATTAGATTGATTATATTATCTCATAAACACATATATGTACTACACAGAATGTGATATTACAGGCTAATAATGAAAGTGCTAATACTTTTTTCTGCTCTGCTCCGGTCTACCGACTACGTAATTGTGCTTCTGCACTTTTAAATTTTAAACGGATGGATGGACAGCGTTCAACGAATAATTGTCTGAATGTTACTGATGCATGTAAATAAGATCATACGTCAATCGATCACAATTTTTGATTGAATCTTATCAATCAATCAAGTTAAGATTCCCTATCTAGTATATACGGATGCTAATGAGAAGTCAGTATGACAAATATTGATCCATCATAGGGGGGGGGGAAGTACTAATATCATGATACTAATGCGAAGAATCAATTTACTCTATGATTAATCACTAATGACAATCTAAGCAGAAACAAAGAAAGCATTGTATGAACATAGAACAATATTATTTTGATTTATATCGGTATACGGAAAAAATATGACGATATAAACTATATCACATAAGCTCCCTAAAAAAATTATTTTAAACATTTTAGGAATTCGACAGCAACATTTGACACATGAATGTATAACGCTAAACTTTTATCATTGATCATTTAATTTGATCATATTGAACTTTACTTTGTCTTACTTTTTGCAGACCTGTCAGACAGGGACCCTGTTTTAATTATAGCTTGATAACCTTTCGATCATAATACACAAAATGTTTTGGGAATGGTTATCTGTTTGGCCATCCATTGACTTTCTACACCAATGAAGTGTATGGAACTTTGAAGTTAACTGGAAGAATAAATGTTACAATGAATTGAGGTCAAATTTAGGGAGAAGAAATCCATGATTAAGTTAAATAAGGCTACTTCGACGAATCATACGAATTACAGTACAGAGAAAGGAGTTCTGAACACCTGATGGTGTTGTTGGACGATAAGACAATTTGCTCAGAGATTACTTATCAGATTACTGGTTCTCACAACACGATCAATATAATATTAGATCCTATTTTAAAGATCTCTGTGCTGAACTAATTTTCGTCAAGCTTCTTCATTTTATTGCATTTCATAAATCTAAATACATGACGTAATGTTTTTTCATTCAAAGTCGAAAAGAATTTGTTTTATTCTGAATCGAAAATATTCATTGAAGAAGACAGACCAGTTAGCCAACTTCATAGATATTTTATTTAGTAGTTTTATAGATTTTGTTTTTTAACAACAATCTAATTATTTTGCATTGAATTAATTATTAGTTATATTTTAAACACTTACTCCACACTTCCATTTAATCAAAATAAATGTAATCAAAACAGTAATTTTTCGGTATAACAACTGGTCAACACTAAACTATGCTTAGAAAACCTATGATACAACACAATTACCTTCAAGTGTATTGAGTAGGGAAGAATTACTCTTTTCATTATTGATGTCCAAAAACATGTTCTTCACACGGTCTGAACTGTAAGTCGTAAGTTTGAATAATTCACTTTTTACGGTAATTGGTTGTATACCAGCAGCAAATAAACGACATTGGTAGCTGTAATAAATGTAGTAAAAATAAGCAATGAAAATTAAGAATAATTATCGAATAAACTTTGTAAGATAGTGATGCATTTTTCTCATTTTACAAACTAGAATCTACTAATACTATCATCTAACCCGACATATAATCATGTTATACATTGAAAATAAGACGAATTAACCACTTCACTATTGTTATTTGTTGAAGACGGAAAATAATTTAAGTAGGGGAAATTCGCAAGGTAAAATCATCTTATTCATGGTATTTAAGTTTGAGAGAGCAGTGATGTGTGGAAATTTCTGGCTACAATAGTAGACAACAATTTTTGGGATGTTAGATCCCCTACACACGCTTGATAAATATCTTTATTTTGGATTTATTTCATGGGCCGATCATTTAACCTTGAGATCAAATTTCCCATCAGGAAACTCCTTGGCTGTGATTGGTTACTGTATCATTTTAGAACGCTATTTTTGTGACTGTCCAAAGGATGTCTCTATGGGATATAAATAAACGAGATTTGAGTGCTTGGATTCACTGTGTGCTGGCTGGGTGTTTGTAGAATACACTTTCTACGCTATATCAAGACTTCTTGTTGATACAATTTGGTCAAGGGATCACGGTAGCCTACCTGGACGTTGGTTCATTGTTTTGTTCTCGTTATTCGACTAAGGTGAACCTGTAAGTTTTAAGCGTACCTAGAGATGAGCATGACAGAAAAGTTCTGGCTACAATAGCAGACAACCATTTAGGGCTTCAGTGACACAAAAATGGTGTGGGATGTCTTTAGTACATCCAGTAACCGTTTTGTTATTAATTTACCATGCTGGATGCCTTGAACTAAGATGATGTCCCATTTGTTGGTCCTTGAATGATTTGATTATTTGTTCAATATTAAAAGATGTGTTAATTTGTTCTCTTCACCTCGCTATTAGGCTTCTAGAAAGAAACGTTAAGATTGATCGGCTTGTTCAAAAAGAAATGTCGATAGTCTTCCTGATCAGGCGTTAGTCTGTGATTATCTATACTCCAATGGTGAAAAAATGTTAGTCGTATTTCCAAGTCATTCTAAAAAAAATCACTGCCGATATTTAGGCAATAAATGAAGATAACTATAATAAATGTATACCTTTACTGATTCATCGATTAATAAGAAACTTTTAATTAAATGTATACCTTATCAGTATAGTAACAATTAGTTAGAATAAGATAAATGTTTTTTGTGAAGAGTATCTTTGTATTTTGCAAAGTTTAAGCTTAATTCTGTGTCGTTAGGTGTGCACTGTTGAAAATAGTTCCGAACTAAAACAAAACTTCTGTTTAATCGTCTTCAACTCTTAACAATCGTGAAGCTAATGATAGTTTACAACAGACACTACATAGAAGTTTCCATTGACCACCATTAAAAATAATTATTCTCCACAACACAATATTTATTCTTATATAAGAACAGGCTACATTTACAGTTAGTAGTATTAAATAAACGAATTTAACGATTTCGTTTATTTTAAATTGTAGTCCGACTGAGGTGAAACAAGAAATAAAGTATTACGCAATGAATCTTACTTAATTAATTGATATTCAAACAAATCTACAAAATATGTTAGTTAGATTTAATGAATGCTGCTAAAACACTACCATGATATTCTGTCAACTTCATTTTATCTTTTCAGTACAAACAACATCCAATAATTTGCTAAAAATAAATTTTTAACGTATGATAATTCGAATGTTGAAAACCAACTTTAAAAGCCAAATTTAATTAACCAGTAAATGATTTCAAGTTGGTTTCTCTGATGAGATTGTTGTGGAAGTCATAACCGGCGAATTCAAACAAGCCGGAAATTAAGGCAGTAACTAACCAATGACAAGTTTCATGCGATATTCGAAACCATTTTGAGTCAGAAATGTACAGACTGTTAGTTATTAATTCAGTGGGTCATTTAGATCTTGTTAGAAGTGAAATTCGAAAAATCTCAGCTAGATAAAGTTGACATCAGGGAACAGTTTTATAGAATCAATCCCAAAGCAAAATGAAATATTTATTCATTATTACGAGGAGAAAATTATTATCAAATGGGATAGAATCGCCTTCACTTATCACAACTTACAATACTGGTCAGGAAAGTACTACGGTGATAAAAATTTACGAACAAACAAGCTCAGATAAGATTTTATTAATATTTAGACTGATACACACATTGATCAGTACAAGTTTTCCAATTGATCTTAGCGTCATAATCCTATTCTATAGTTGTAGATGTTAGTTGATGAAATCGATAGAACTTTCACTGTTATATTGATTCACCAACTCCGTCGAATTCGTTCAGCATATTATATTCATTCGTTTCGATGACATTTCACTTATGTAAAGATTTTTTAATGCTTCAGTTAGTCAATCACAACCTCGAACTTCGTACTTACATACATCAGTTCAGGTTGCCATACCGCATTAACAAAGAGACATAACTATCAGTTCAAACACCAGTGTGGTGGAGATAGTAGAAGTATTAGAGGTTATAGAATGCGAGCAAATCGCTATTATTCATTTTCCTGTGTTTCATCCTAACAAATCTACTACTCGCTCTGCTGATACAAGAGCTATAACTAATCAAACTAACAGATATTCATGTTAAGTTTCACATTATCCGATGACGAGATAAATTATAGAAATATCCATTAAAATCTAACAACATAGTATGGATCATTCCAATTAGATTTTCAAACTGTTTCAAGCTATTCTCTTAGCATATTCGATAATTAAATAATAAAAAAAAGCAGAAATAAAATAAATGATCACTTTTTCACTATACACTGAATTGTTTCGTATTTTTTACTGATATTATTATTGTAGGCGAATTCTTGAGTAAGGTAGGCTAATTTATGCATAACTGTAATCATATCAAGCATTGGATCATTGATTTCACGTAAACTATTTTGATGTATTGTAATTGTTGGTAAATTTTCTGCAGTAGGTGATAATTCTGAAAAAATAAATTTTTTTTCAAAAAAAAATACAAAATAATTATCTATAATACGATAATATTCAAATGTAATTTAAGAAGTATTTCGGGGATTACTTACGAAACGGTATCATTAGTCACATGCTTCATAAATAGTGATAAAAATTTGTAATAAATTCCTACATTTGACATCGTAAATTAGTTTCCATTCAGTCAGTTACAACGTAGAACTTCGTACGTACGTACGTAATCTCACGTTGCCATATCACATTACCACAGAGAAGCAACTATTAGTTCGTATCCCATAGTGGTAGAGAAAGTAGAAGTATTAGCGGCAATGGAGAAGATTAGGTTTCGAAGATAATACTTGGTTATTATTATTCAGTAAGATCCATAAAAGTTTCAGAAGTAAGCCTGAGGGAAACCCTGCTGCTCTACATCGCTTCAGATTTCCTATAGCTTTTTCAACTTCATAAAGACTCGGAGGACTTATATCGATTTGATATTCAGGATGACTGGAGATCGTGGGCAAACGAAGTGCGGCTGATGGACAGTTGAATCGATTCCTTGAAGTGTTCTGTCCATTCTCAACCTTCTGGGTTGAGAATGAATGAAACAGTCATTCTTTTCTGAGATATTTTCGTTAACAGATGGACTTCTAGTTCCGGTTCCTTCGTCAAGTCGGAACAACTGTGTGCTGTTGCCTATCGCCGCTCCCTTTTCCATTGATCTTGCTTCCGCTACACAGCGCTGTTTGCGTAGGCTTTTTATCAGCCAGCTCCTAAGCTCACTTTGCTCCTTTTCATGTTCAGAGCCAGAAGGGATTAGTTTCCGAGTGTCTATCAGTTCGGTGGATGCTACTGAGATTCACGGCTTCTTCCTAACCTTATGGTTTACATTACTAGCTGATATTCCTGCTGTTTCCACAGCATTTTCGATATCGTTCCAAGCTGCCTCCGGATGGGAATCACTTATATGGTCGCCTAACTGTTTCTCCAGTCGTCCCTGAAACATATACATACAGTGGGAGCGTAGGTAGATACGACGAAGAGGCAACGGCAAGTGTGACTATCCTTCCGAATCCCTACTTTCCCGTTTCGTTGAACAGTGCACAAGCGACTATCTACTGGGATCCAGTCTAGGAGAGCTAGTTCTACTTTAGAACTTAATGCTACACCAGCACCAGCGACGATATGGCAAGCAGCAGCCGGGCTTCCAAATACACTAAGCGTGAATTGAGATTGTTATTTATTTTGAGATAATGAGGTGAAATGATAGACGCTACTCGGATACTGTACGCATGTTTCAGAGACAGAGCACACATCGATGGCGCGAGTTTCTAAAGTTCTAGCTAAGGAATCCTGTTGTCTCATATGACACAAGGTTCAGACATTAAAAGCTCCATCATATAGTTAGAGTTGAGTACGCATTAGCGTTGCAGGGTGATAAAGAGATGTGAGAAGGATGTGTCTTCGAAATAAGAAAAATGTTCCGGGGTGGGGGAAGGATTTGTTTGTAACCCATTCGGTCTCGTGTGCTGTTAAACGTATGAGGACAGAAGTCGCTTCCTGTCTGCCACGGTGAAAAGATGTTTCTTCAGGAACCTGAGACGTAAGGTAGACTAGTGTTGGATTTAGAGACCTGGGAGCGTGATCGCAGAAACAAAG